TAAAGAGTCATAATTCACACAAAAACAGACATATAGATGCATGGAACAGAATAGAGAGCCCAGCAATAAACCCACACATACAGAGTGTCCCCCCAAAATGTATATACCCCATGTCTGTAGATTCTATTACATTTTGAAAATGAACTGTATTTTAATAAATACTGCCTTTAAATTATTCAAAGTGTGTATACATTTTTGGGACACCCTGTATATAGTCAATTAACTTATGACAAAGGAGTCAAGACTATATATGGGGAAAGATCAGTCTCTTCAATAAATGATGCTGGGAAAACTGGACAGCCACAAGCCAAAGAACTAAAATGGACCCCTATTTTACTCATACAAAAACTTATTCAAAATAAAGACTTTAACATAAGACCTGAAGAAACCATGAAACTCCTAGAAGAAAACATATGTGGTCAACTCCTTGGCACAGGCCTAGGCCATAATTTTTTAAAACTGACACCAAAAGCAACAAAAGCAAAAACAAACAAGTGAGACTACTCAAACTAAAAAGTTTCTGCACAGAAAAAAAAAATCAATAAAATAAAAAAGCAACCTATTGAATGGGATAAAATATTTGCAAATCATATATCTGAAAAGGATTTAATATCCAAAATATATGAAGAACACATACAAATCAAAAGCAAAAAATCTGGTTAAAAATGGGCAGGTCTCAACAAATATTTTTCCAAAGAAGACATATAGATTGTCACCAGGTACATGAAAAGATGCCCCAAATCACTAATCATCAGGGGAAATGCAAATCAAAGCCACAGTGAACTATCACCTCACACCTGTTAGAATGATTAATATCAAAAGACTAGAAATAATAGGTGCTGCTGAGGATGTGGAGAAAAGGGAACCTTGGGCACTGTTGGTGCAGCCACCATGGAAAATAGTATGGAGGTTCCTCATAAAATTAAAAATACAACTACCATATGATCTAGCAATTCCACTTGTGTATATTTATCCAAAGAACAGGAAATATTGCAACAACATGGATGGACCTCAAGGGAATTATGCTAAGTGAAATAAGACAGAGAAAGACTTATACCATATGGTCTCTCTTATATGTGGAACCAAAAATAATTTTTTTTTTTAAAAAAAAAAGCAAGCTCATAGATTGGTGGCAACCAGTGGCAGGTGAAGGGGGCTAGAAGAAATGGGTAAAATGTTGCTTTTTAACTTTTAGTTTAAATAAATTTAAAAATAAATAAAGGAAAATTTTAAAAAGCATAATTAATATGCATCAAAAAATATCTTATGGTATACATATACAATGGAATATTATTGAGCCATAAAAAGAAATAAAATTCTGATACATGCTACAACATGGATGAACCTTGAAAACATGCTAAGTGAAATAAACCAGACACAAAAGGGTAGTGCATGATTCCACCTATATGAGGTACCTAAAATAGGGAAATTTGGGGACAGAAAGTAGAACACAGGTTAACAGGGGCTAGAGCGTGGAGGAGGTGGGGGGAATGGGGATTTATTATTTAACTAGAGGCCTGATGCATGAAATTCATGCAAGAGTAGGCCTTTCTTCCCCCAGATGCTGGCACTGGCTTCCCTCTGGCACCCAGAACCCGGGCTTCCCTCTGGCCGCCAACAGGCACCCAGGACCCAGGCTTCCCTCACAGCCCCAGCTTCGTCCGAAAGGTCGTCCGGTCTAATTAGCATATTACGCTTTTATTATTATAGACGGGTACAGAGTGTCTGCTTGGGATAATTAAAAAATTTGGAAGTGGAAGATAGTGATACTTAAGCAACATTATGAATGTGCTTAATGCCAGTGAACTGCACACTTAAAAATGGTTGAAATATGACTGGCCAGCATGGCTCGGTGGTTGAGCATCGACCTATGAACCAGGAGGTCACGATTCAATTCTGGTCAGGGCACATGCCCAGGTTGCAGGCTCGATCCCCAGTAGGGGGCGTGTGGGAGGCAGCCAATCAATGATTTTCTCTCATCATTGATGTTTCTATCTCTCTCTCCCTCTCCCTTCCTCTCTGAAATCAATAAAAAATACTTAAAAATATATATATAGCCTATTTTTCAACAGGAAGTTTTAGCATGAGTATCAGCCTTAATGGTCTTAAAATAAAGGACAGATCACTTACTCTCAAGTTCCTAACTATGGACACCAAATGAGTCAGTATTAACTCTTAGCTGGCCTTAGTTTCAAATACACTCCTGAAATGGGTACATACTTTGCAAATTTCATAAGGAACATTATTTCACTTTGTTGATAACATCCTTTTTTTTTTTTGGCTCCTTGAAGGGAAAGAGAAAGAGAACTATACTGAAGAGATACCTTTATGAATGGCCTATGCATAATGGAGGGTTTATAAAGAGGTACTTATCCACCTGTGCAGGGCACCACAAATGGATATGTAAACAAGTGACATTCGATTCAAAAGTAGAGAGGGTTTCATGTATTGGTAAACCATAATTTAAACCATGGAAATATAACCCAAATTCAAGAGAGAAATTAAAAGTCCATTATTTTGATACATATAATAAAGTAATATATTTGGATATTTACTCCAAACACCCAAGAAAAAGTCTTACTGCAGTACAAAAACAATAAACGTGAACTTAATAAATTAATATTTTCCTAAAACGGCTTAGGGTAAGGGATTCCAGTTAGGATTATTTAATTCTCTAGTAAACTAGTAATTACAATATATCAACTATCACTCAAGGAATAACAATTTCCAAAGAGGTAGAATGCAATAGTCAAAGAACTTAAGGTCAAAACTAGACTAATAATAACAGAGTGGGGCAAAAGTATGTTTACAGTTTTTTGTATGGAAAAAATACAATAATCCATAAGTAATAATATAAGAATAAACTGTTTTGCATACTCACAACTGTATTTGCTAATACCCCACCCTGTATTAGCAAACACTTATATGGCTCTTACAATAAGCCTGGTTTATTCTAAGCTCTTTACATATACTAACTCATTTTATCCTCACAACAATTTGTGAGAAAAGTATTACTATTCCTATTCCATAAGTAAAGAAACTGAGGTGTAGAGGGGTCAACTACTTTGACCACTATCTTGCTATATACTTGGTTGAGCTAGGACCTGAATCCTGGAAGTGTGGTTCCCCAGTTCCTGCTTTTAATTACAATGGTTACTATCTCTTGTTGACATTAGGATGGACAACATAAAATACAGGCAAACTCAAAATACAAAACAATTTGTGAGTCAAATATAATAAAAGGTTTGAGGAAATCATCATAATACACAGTAAGTGGCATTCATAATGACTGCTCTGAGATAGGGAAAATTAAAATGTTTAGTATATTTAGTGTTTAAGAAGGAATTGTTTAGTACAGTGGTCGGCAAACTGCGGCCCCTTGAGTGTGGCTCTTCCACAAAATACCACGTGCGCGCGCACGTACAGTGCGATTGAAACTTCGTGGCCACACTCAAGGGGCCAAAGAGCCGCATGTGGCTCTCGAGCCACAGTTTGCCGACCACTGGTTTAGAACAATAGAAATTTCTCTATCCAAAACAGTAAAAGTATAATTTTCATTTCTAAAGGGGTAAAACTTTCAACTATCTATAGTTACTCATTCCCTGAAGGCGCCAAACAAAAGGGTTAGACTGAGCAATCTTATTTGCCATTTAGCTCATTCTTAAGGATGGTCTGTGTGCATGTGTGCGCGCATGTATGTGTGTAGAAAGATCATAAATTAAGTTTTCCAGGTTTGAATTCCAGATATGAGAACTTAATACTAAAGGTATTAGAAAGGAAACCTGAACTTAAAGCTTGGGTCCACCATTTAGTTACTATGAATGTTTGGCAAGTTTTTCACATAACTGAGTCTCAGTTTCCTTCTCTGTAAATTGAGGATAATAATTCCTAGCTCCCAGTGTGAGCAAAGGAGAAAACGCATGCAAAGTGTTGAACACAGTGGAATATAGCAGCAGACAGTCAACAAGGAGTGACTACTATTATTCTCTAAACTTATTCTTTTTTGTCCCCCAAAAATAACAACCAAAACGTATCAACTAGCAAGTCACTTGGTAGGCTTCGCAGAATTATATGAAGTACAATATGCCCTATTAAAAAATGGAACATACTAAAAGCACAAGAAAATACAAGCCACCAATGAGATAAAAGATTTCGGAATCCTTCTTCTCCCATATCTTTTCTGGTTGGTTTTGTAATATCAACAATATGAATATGTACTGTTGGGTTTTGTTTGTTTTGCGGGGTCCACACATTCCTCCTGGGGTTCTCTTGTTTATTTATTTTGATGGGTTACCTTTGCAACAGTGGTTATCTTTGCTTGGAAACCGAAAAGAAACCCAGGAACCAGGAGCATCTGTTAATGAAATGCTAACACTGTGTCATCCATCTCAACAGGTGATTGGCTCCCAGGTGGGTCATTTGCTATCAGGGCAGGTTCTCACATGGTTGCGCCGCCCCTGACCCAACAAACACCTGCTTTACTGAGCACAGGGCCACCCTGACAGCGAACGGATGCTCTCGGCACAACAACACTCAAAACGTGGCGCTCCCAGTGAGCACCCTGGGGCGGGCGCGGTGTGGCGGTGGCTGCAGGCGGAGATGAACAGGATCGGACACTGTTCCGCCTCCTTCAACAAGGCAAGGCTGAAGGTGCACCTGCGGGGCTGGGGGCGGAGGGGCTGGGTGAGACGGGCCTGGAGGCGCGAGGACGGAGGCGGCAGCTGCTGGCTGAGGGAGGGTGTGTGCCGGCCGGGAGAGCCGCAGCCCATCACCTGCTGAGAGCGGAGCTGGACAGGACTGGCCGCTCATCCCGGTCCCCAGGACCCGCTCAGCCTCTAGGCGCCTGGGGCGAATGAGAGAGAATGGGGACCCCGACACCCAAGAAAGACAGAGCAGGGCGGGCTCCCGGTCGCCTTCACCACGGGATGCGACGGCCCCCGCCGCCATCCCCGCGCGGGAGACGCAGAAACCGTGGACCCAACCGGGAGCGCGCAGGTTACCTGTCTCAGCTGCCTGCCCAAGGGTCTCCACTTCCGCAGACTCGGGGTTACTACGGGCTACGGGGCACGCGCCGGTGACGTCATCCACGCGCGCCCGGCCTCAGCTGGCCCGCCCCGCCCCCCGGGGAGAGCAGATCCGGGCTGCGGGCGGAGGAGTCTGCGCAGGCGCGGACCGGGACCACGCGAACAGCTGGGCGGGATTGGTTTTTCCTCGAGTTGCCCTGCTACCCGACAAACTACTCCTAATTGCAAAATCTTGTTACGTAAGAAAAAACAAGTTATTGAAATACAAAAGTGCACTTTTTGTTGTTTTTTTGTTTGTTTGTTTGTTTTTTATTTTTTTTAAATCTTTATTGTTCAGATTACATTTGTTCCTCTTTTTTTTCCCCCCCATAACTCCCCTCCTCCCAGTTCCCGCCCCACCCTCCGCCCTCACTCCCCACCCACTGTCCTCATCCATAGGTGCACGATTTTTATCCAGTCTCTTCCCGCATCTCCCATTCCCCTTTCCCCCCCAAGAATAGTCTGTCCATTCCCTTTCTATGTCCCTGATTCATTATAATCACCAGTTCATTCTGTACATCAGATTATTTATTCACTTGATTCTTAGATTCACTTGTTGATAGATGCATGTTTGTTGTTCACTATTTGTATCTTTACCTTTTTCTTCTTCCTCTTCTTAAAGGATACCTTTCAGCATTTCGTATAATACTGGTTTAGTGGTGATGAACTCCTTTAGCTTTTCCTTATCTGTGAAGCTCTTTATCTGACCTTCAATTCTGAATGATAGCTTTGCTGGATAAAGTAATCTTGGTTGTAGGTTCTTGCTATTCATCACTTTGAATATTTCTTGCCACTCCCTTCTGGCCTGCAAAGTTTCTGTTGAGAAATCAGCTGACAGTCGTATGGGTATTCCCTTGTAGGTAACTGAGTTTCTTTCTCTTGCTGCTTTTAAGATTCTCTCTTTGTCTTTTGCTCTTGGCATTTTAATGATGATGTGTGTTGGTGTGGTCCTCTTTGGATTCCTTTTGTTTGGGGTTCTCTGCGCTTCCTGGACCTGTAAGTCTATTTCTTTCACCAGGTGGGGGAAGTTTTCTGTCATTATTTCTTCAAATAGGTTTTCAATAACTTGCTCTCTCTCTTCTGGCACCCCAATAATTCTGATGTTGGTACGTTTGAAGCTGTCCCAGAGGCTCCTTACACTATCTTCGTACTTTTGGGTTCTTTTTTCATTTTGCTTTTCTGGTTGGGTGTTTCTCGCTTCTTCGCATTTCAAATCTTTGACTTGATTCTTGCCCTCCTCTGGTCTGCTGTTGGGAGTCTGTATAATATTCTTTATTTCAGTCAGTGTATGCTTACTTTCTAGATGGTCCTTTATCACACCATCGAGGGTCTCATTAGATTTCCTGTACATCTCATCAAGTTTATTGACAGACTCTAGAAGCCTCTTGAGAGACCTCAAAAGTGTGGTTCTGAACTCAATATCCTCCCTTGATAGTTTTGTCCTGTTTCTTTGAATAACCAAGATGGCGGCATAGGTAAACACCGGAGACTGCTGCCGCAAACAACCACTTCAAAAATACAACTAAAAGACGGAACAGACATCACCCAGAACCACAGGAAAGCTGGCTGAGGAGAGACTCTTCAACTAGAAGGAAAGAGAACAGCATACCGAAGCCCAGAAGAGGCGCAGTGTGGAAAATATAAAGGTACCGAGGTGCGCGCGCAAAGCGGGCTGGTGGCTGAGGGCGCGGTTGTCGTTTTCAATCAGGAGGGAGTCTCAGACTCTGGGCTCCAGATCTGGGCGAGTCTCTAGGGACTCAGACTCAGACGGGAGAAGCGGGATTGTCCGGCATCAGTTGGAATCTGAGGGCAGCCTTCTCTCCGAGGTTTGCAGTGGCGGCCGGGGTTCTGAGAAGCAGAGCCTCTAGGACCAGGACTGAGAGCAGCCGTAACTGCTCCCTCCACCCGCCCTGTTGATCCCGCCCCGCCCAAGCCCTGCGCAGAGCCATTTGCTGGATCGCCTCAGGCAAAGGCTAGATTAGCACCTCCCTAGAGGACAGAAGTTTTCCACACAGCTGATTCTCACAGCCGGTCAGCCTGGTGGTCAAATCCCTCTAGTATTAACTACAACAATCAGGGCTTAACTACAACAAGACTGCGCACAAAGACTACTAGGGGGTGTACCAAGAAAGCGTAAAAAATGTTTTGTTTTTTTTTTACTTCACCTCTGCCAGGCAAGCCCTGGTGCAGAATCTGGCATTCAGCGGTGAACGGAACAGACACTGTGCCCAGCTAATGGAGATGACTTTCTAGTTGAGGAAGCAAACACTGTGTCTCGCAACAAATGCGTATGCCCTCTAGAGACGATAGTGTGTGGAAGAAAAATAAGTTGCTGCAAAACTAAAGGAGAGTGGGTGCCCCTTTAGTTTGAGATGCCAAGGAAGTCCCCTCTGAAAAGGCCCATGAGGAGAGAAGAAGCCAGCTCCGTAAAGATCTGAGGGAACGGGAAATAAGAGAAGAATCTACAAGCAGTAGCAAAAACTTGCTATTTGTTCCATTCTAGAGAGAAGTTATATGTTCCTAAGCATCTGTGGGATTCAACTTGACTGAAGGTCTTTCAAAAGTCACTGGATTTTTCTAATTCTATCACTGCCAATAATAGCAATGTTTTAAGGATTCTGATTTTAAATCCCACTTAAAATATAAACACGTCCATAAAAGGGTGGATAAACACTGATCTCTTGTCTCCTAACAAAGGTTACCACTGGCTGGATGCTTGTAGTTGCAGGAAATCTGGTTTCAAGTGTGTAAGGGAATTTGTTATAAAAATACAGTACTGACTCACTTAATCCAACGGCAGGGAGGCAGTGGGGTCAGAGGAACCATGGGAACCCTGCAGAATCTCTCTTCTCCCCTCTCTCTTTTGTTTTCAAGCATTTCTGCTTCATTCTTTTCTCTTTTTCTAGATCTACTTCCTCTGAATATCTAGCCATGCAATGGATTAAAATAGTCATCTCAGAATACTCAAGTTTGTATCTCTCCCTTCTAAGAGATACTAGATCTCCCAATTCCAAATTACTGAGAGAAGGAATATGATTAAGGCCATTTTAGGTCAAGTGTGCACCACTACCAATCCAGCCATGGGGGGAGAGGTGGGGCGGTCAAGTCACCTACAAAAAGGACTGGGGGTGGGTGATTCTCAAATAGAATGTCTTATTGCCAGGAGTGTGAGAATATGAAGTAAAGCCCTGTGCTAATCATGCAAACATTCTAGACACCTGACTCATGGTAATTGTTGGCCGATCATAGAGCAATACAAAAACATTGGTTTACAGATTTACAAAGATAAATCTTGACAACTCAACAGTACTGCTGCCTCCTACCCTCTTCTGCATCCTTGGAAAAGCTTAATAAAAATTTGCAGATTACCAGATGAGACCCCAACTTAAATTGCCTGCATACCCCTTGGTTATGTATAGCTGTGACGTTTGGTGGAAGTAAGAATGACCACAGCACAAAAAATTATAGTAAGTGCTCATTTACTACTGCTGCCAGAAAACTAATATAATTAATTACACCATGGAGGTCTATCAAGAATACTGTTTTGGGATATTTTGATGTTGTTTCTCACGAAATTAAGTCTCTTTTAAGTTGCTGTGGGTGAAGAAGAAACTTTCTTCTACTCTCAAGTTTCTTTCCGCTGTTCTAACCATTGAATTTACATGAGACAGATTAATAAGAGAAAATGACCAAATTTAATTACATACATATGTATGGGAACCCCACATACATGAGAGAGTCAAAGACCCCATATACATGAGAGATTCATAGAGAGAAAGGGGAAATTACATATATGTGACATTCTGAGCTAAGGGTCACCTTGAGGCTTCAGAGGGGCGAGGAAGGTCACTGCAGGACAATAAAGAAAAGCAGATATTCAGTCATTAGTAGTTTGCCCTGCCATATAGTTAGGTCAAAAAGTGTTATCTCTGATCATCTTTTGGGCAAGTCTCCTAATTCAAACTCTTCTAGGTAGTTAAGGGCAGGCAGAAGTTTCTCTTGAGCCTGCATGGCATCAGTTGCCTTTAACTCAAAACAATCTGCATAGCATATATATGTTTAGCCTTTTCAGACAAAGGAGCCCTATGATAAAGTTGCATGTGGGACAACATGAACATTCTCAAAGTTCTAATCATCTATAATAATAAAAGGGTAATATGCTAATGAACCGGATGTCCTTCCAGATGACCTTCGGGACGAAGCCCGGGCTGTGAGGGAAGCCCAGGTCCTGGGTGCCGGCAACCTGGAGAAGGAAGGCCTACTCTTGCACAAATTTCATGCATCGGGCCTCTAATATATATATGTATATATACACACACACAGAGTAGGTCCTCGGGTTACGTCAGAGATCCGTTCCTATGGCATGATGTAACGTGATTTTAGCCATAAGTCAGAACCCACCTACATAAGCACCTATGTCACTCACATGGAGCACATACACAAACCGGCAGTCAGACATCCCTCTCACAATCCGGGACCGCTGGGTCCTAACCACTTGCCTACCTGCCTGCCTGATTACCCCTAACCGCCTCTGCCTGCCAGCCTGATGCCCCTAACAGCTCCCCTGCTGGCCTGATTGCCCCCTAACTGCTCCCCTGCCAGCCTAATCACCCCCTATCTGAGCCTTGGGTGACTGGGCAGCCACCATCCCCAGCTTGCCTGAACTCGCAGCTGCCATCCCCAGCTTTCCTGAGCCTCAGGTCGGCCCTGGGCAGCAGCAGCCGCCATCCATGGCTTGCCTGAGCCACGGCTTTGTCCAGAAGGACGTCTGAATGGTCATCCAGAATACGTCCAGTCTAATTAGCATACTACCCTTTTATTAGTATAGCTGTCACCCCAATAAATTCAATGAAAAAGAAAAACATAAAATAAAATGCGTTTTCCTATTAAGTGGGTGGTGGGGTGGAAGATGGTCTTTTTCCTGAGAGCAGTGAGAAACCATTGAAGAATTTTAAGCAGGGAATGACACAATTACATTTACCTCACAGCCATTTTATCTTTAGAGCAGTTCTGT